GCATCTTTACCTTTACAAATATACATGGATATTTGAGTGTACAGAGATTATACAGTTAAAAGAAAATCTTCTTCAGACTGGAAAGTACACTAAACTGTCAAATATACACTCCATTACTCCCTTATTTTTGGTAAGACGTAAGTTAACTTTGTATTTTTTGTGCGTTTTCCATATTTTTATCTGAGATACAAATACAGTTTTTAGAATAAATTTGAAGGCTCAGAATATAGGAAATGGCGTTTCTTGACTATACTGATTTCAAAAATCTCCCGGGTGCCCCCTAGCTTTCGGCCATGATCGACATTCCTACTTCTTTCCGCTAGTGGGGAAGCCCTTTTTTGCCAATGGCCCACCCACTCGAAATTTCTTAAAAAAGGCCCTGCTTTGAAGTTGTTTGTCTTGAAATTTCTACATCAAATATAACTTTTCAATAGCTTTAATTTGACACACAGCCAAACGTCTGGAGTCAAGTATTTCGTCTAGATCTCAAAACTCAGAAAGACTATTTTGGCTTCAGGCTGTAAATGGATGTTTGTCATGAGTTATCGTCCCAGTTGTATAAAGTTCACTGGTTTTGAGTCGTTTATACTACGATTGTGTGCGACCAATTACGTATTACTTTATCCAGTACAAATGCACTGCTTATTTAGGCCGCGGCTTATTTTCCCTCCTATAAATGGCTTTATTATGACCCTGGTGTCTAAAATCTTCTCATTTAAGTTCATTTACCTTCGATTCGAAACATGAAAAGTTTCATGTTTGAAACGAGCCTTAAAAGTTTGGAATTTTTGCCAAAAATTTGCAAAAATGCAAAGCATGTATATCATATTGGTTTGCGCCTAAGGCAATGTTGTATACAGTGGATACACTCTACATTTATCTTTCGATTTATATAAAAGATCAGGGGGCGTCATGCTTAATGTGGTATTAAATAAAAACAATTCGTGATTAAATAGAACGAAGATTACACTTGATATACTGGAGTTAATGACGTCGACGTGAGTAAAATAACGTAGATATTATATATGGTTGCAGAAATTTAACATTAGTCAGTGGTTAAAAAAAAGGTAAGCTCATCCCTATTCTCTAATATACCATTTAATAACAAACCAACATCATATTCACACGTTTATTAACTGTCATTTCAGAAGGCGTAATTCACTGCCACTTCAAATGTAAATCAAGAATAATCTAGACATCGTTTACACTGTCTATAATTATCCTCGATTTATTGGACGACAATGCTTATAAAGCATGTAAATATTGTGTTAGTTGTGCCGTGCCAATAAATCGAGTGTAATGGGAGCGAAGCTATGTTTATACAATTCGTGATATTCACACATGCCATAATTATATAGTGATATACGCTTAAGACTTTTATCGCCAAGCAAGTACGTGCTTATCGTATACACGAGCAAACAAAGGAAAAATTGCCGTGTGGTTTTATTTTCAATTAACATGTAGATTGTGTTTTAAGTGCTATCTATCGATACGATTGAGATGACTCGATGGCGTGTAATATAAAAAAATGATTGATACTGTTCACAATGTTACAAACGCCACCATGAAATGCAAGAATTACTTACTAGGTTTACTCGATCATATTTTGAATGATCAATATTCAATATGCTATAATTGAATATAATTATGCATGCCTAAGTACGTTATTTATATACTGGGCCATGTCACGACACGGCAGATTCAGTTTGAGTTTTTAGGCAGAGTTGTTAGTATAAGAAACTCCAAAAGAAAGTAATTTGTGCATGTTCACAGAGGGTGCGACCCACGCAAACCTTCAGCTCCTAAATTAGTATTAGGGAATTTTAGTTTCGCTGCGGCTACAAAATCTTCTAAAGCCCGTTTCATGCAGACGTCGAACTTTTCATGTGCCGAATCGAATGCAAATGAACTTAATAAACAAAGACTTCAGCTCATTTAACATTAGGTTCGGCAAATGAAAAGTTGACGTCTGAAACGGGCCTAAGACAGTTAAAGCTCCGCTTCTAAGGCCATTGATACATGAATTGGCGTAAGTGTTGTTACAGATAAAGATGTTATGTGCAAATTAAAGCCCCGTTACACTTTACTCAATTTTATTTGAACAACATATTAAAGCCCCGTTTACACTACACTCTATTTATCGGCACGGCACGGCTAAAATTGGTATACCCGTACCCAATTTCATTAGTGTTCAGGATGCCAAAACAAAGGCTGAGCACAGATGAAATGGGCCTAAATCGAGTGTAGTGTAAACGGGGCTTATGATTTTGTGAAAAAATTGATTTACCCTTATATATCTAAATACTATTTCAGGAAAATTAGACATGATGTATACAACCCAATTTACATTCTTTTAGAGTTCAACAAAAATGATGCTTGAAATTGGACTATTGCTGTGTCTGGTATTACTGCTGCGGGCCATTACAACTTACAAAATTAGGAAAAAGATGCCACCAGGACCATTCCCGTTTCCCTTCATTGGCAATATACCTCAGATAGTATTCGATCCACTTTATCCCTTCGGCCGACTGGCCCAAACTTTCGGTGATATATTCACTCTTACTACTCCTGTTGGAACAATAGTTGTACTAAACAATACCAAGTTAATACGAAACGCAAGACTCGAGACCAGAGACGATCTTGCAGGAAGAACCCCGGATTCGATGTATCCTTGGAGTGTCATACAACGCTGTAAAAACGTAGCGACAGCGGACTATTCAACAGCGTACCTTTTTCGGAAGAGGGTTTTCAAGACAGCATTGCACACGGCAGTAAATGGCGTGGAAAAGGTGGAGGATCGAGCGAGAAGCGGGTTGGTGAAGGCAATCAAAGAGATTGATCGAAAAAATGGAGAACCATTTTCAGCTCTGGAACTTTTTGAAAGCGCAATAATCGCACAACTTTGGGAATGGCTGACCTCAAAAAGCGTATCATTGGACGATGCGATCGTAAAATCTTCCCACGAACTGGGATACATACTGTCGAACCTTGCCAAACAAGCTTCGTTGTATCAAATGTTCCCATTCTTAGCCTATTTTCCGACTAAATTTAACCGTGATATAAAAAGAGCCAAACAGTTGGTGGATGACTTGTTTCTCCCGGAATTCCATGCACATCAGCAAACCTATGAATCAGGCATCATTCGTGACTTAACCGACAGTTTTATTACTTTATACGAAAGGGAACGTACCAAAGACGGCATCACGGAAATAGGTTCAACAGAAGATATTCCATACCTAATGTTGGATGTCATCATCGCCGGAACAGACACAACTTCCACCGCATTATCTTGGTTCATATTGTACATGGTTTTGTATGATGATATCCAAATAAAAATCCAAAAAGAAATTGATGTTATAACCACGAACGACAGCGCGCCAGCTTGGAAAGATGTTCAAAACATGTCGTACCTTCAGGCTACTTTGTGCGAGGTTTTAAGGATCTCCGGTTTGGTTCAACACACGGGAACAAACGCTATTCGTGACACCACCATTGCCGGTTATCACGTACCCAAAGGAACTCTTGTCGTGCTCAATCTCAAGAAAGCGCTTCACGACGAACGAGAATGGTCAGAGCCTGTCACGTTTAAGCCTGAACGATTTCTTGGTTCCGATGGCAGATTTGTCGGATGGTCGAAGCTTCGTGGTTTCGTGCCATTCGTCTTGGACGGAGGGAATGTTTAGGACAATCCGTAGCAAAAATGACGCTGCTTACATATGCTTCAGCATTGTTGCATCGCTACAAATTTGTGTTGCCAGATAAAGAAGCACTTCCTAGCACAGACGTTTCTACTGACGCGTTGTTGCTCCGTCCCAATGACTTTAAAGTCGTTGCAAAATACCGGTCTAGATATATCGAATGAGAGTTAATGGTACACTATAGTAATACAATTGCTTAACTCCTTTTATTTTTATTTAAAAACTGTGATACAAATCGATGGTAACGTAGTAGCCGTCTATAGAGCTAACCAAATAGGTAGTGTGCGAGTCGCGATAAACGGCGGAGAATCACTCGAAAAGTATAACGTGTAGCAAATGTACGAGTGATATGCCATTAATTACATTAGATATGTTTAGTGTTTAAGATTTTGGGTATTCCAAAAGTCTAGAGAACCTGTATTATAACTATAGTTAGAGTATCTATTACAATCAGCGCAATATGCATCGAATAATATTCTTGGACGTTTGCATGGTGACAATCGATAAGTAATTAAGCTTGTAGGTACACCACGTAAGTATGTAATACTGCAAAGCTTTCGGTCCGTTAACCCGGGCCTATTGCACTGATGAAGGCCCGGGTTAACGGACCGAAAGCTTTGCAGTATTATATACTTCCGGGGTGTACCTACAAGCTTAATTACTAATATGCATCTAATTTAATAGGACACTGTCTGATCTTTAAACTATATAAAGTTATGACATCAACTCCCAAGGCAAATAAGAACTTACCTATATACTTACTTACATATTTTATGAAAGAAGTGTCTTGTAGCTATATTAGTTTCACTATCATAGCCCTTTTGCACGAAATAATTAAGTGAGAACAATTTCGCGAAGGAAAAACATGTTTTCCCATTAGGCATTACACACGGCCACTTCAACCTATTTATTGCCCATATATAGTCAGACATATATACAAAATCTATAGACCAAAACTGATTAACTGTTAAAATAAAAAAAAGAAATATTGTTTCGAAAAGACATTTTTATCGTTGTTTCCACAACCTGCATGCATGCATGGTTTGCATAAATTAACAACAGATCAATCAAATCCCCCTCGTCGTTATACTAGGGACCTTAAACATGTAGGACGGGAACACGACGACGGCAGCTATCAAAACAATGCTTTATTGAAAAGAAATGAATTATTAAATACCTAAGTTTTAGACGTGATCTACGTTCTGTTTACAACGGCAAAACGTCGTTTATTACGTCCTATGTACAGGGTGTATAAAAAAACTGCAAATACCATAATTTGTATGCACTTTAGAATTTCAATGACTGTGCAACTAATTACGCTTCTGAGATTTGAAAATACGTTTCCCAGGGTTATCAAAACAAGCAACAAGCATTCATTAGAACGCCGTGCTCGTAGTGATTTGATCGAAACTTTTAAAATTATAAAAGGAACAGTGAATTATGGAGATGGTTTTTTCCGTTTCTCGAGATCAGGAAGAAATCTTGTACATACATCAAGTTATAAGCTTGGTAATAGTGTGGACTTATTCAAGCAGAGAGTAGTTAAGTACTGGAATATGTTGCCATGTGAGGTAAAAGAAGCAACTTCGGTTGATGATTTTAAGGCAAAATTAGAATATCATAAATTGACTAATCTTGGCAGAGACAGCACTAATGGTTATTGGGACTTATCAGATGAAGTTTTTAATAGAATTTAGGTTTTTAAATATGAGCTAGTCTATTTGTATATATAAACTTATAGATATGTTTTTATAGAGGTTTTTGTAAGTAATTTTTATACCGAATTGTTTTTGAACTTTGTAACAACATAGAGATGCTCAAAGAGGCATATTTATTAAAGTTAAAGTTAAAGTTATACAGAGTGAATTGAAATTAGGTCGATTACGAATGGCTCAGCTAACAACAGAGCAAACGTATTTTCAAATCTCAGAAGCGTAATTAGTTGCACAGTTATTCGCTCAGTTGCTCAGTTATTTAGAATTAAAATTCTAAAGTGCACACAAATTATGGTATTTGCAGTTTTTTGATACACCCTGTAGAACGTCTGCATTTCAGGACCCAGTGAGCGCTACCTGGAACGTCTTATATCTCATTAAATTGTCACAGTTGAAAATATACAACAACGCTTCACCATAACATTTATTCAAAGGAGTATTCCAACCACGTCGTCGTCGTGTTGCCGTCCTACATGCTTAAGGTCTCTAGTGTTTTGATGCAACGGCCAAACTATATATTTTCTCTGGCTCTATATTCATTGCGATTTAGTAAATACTTTGGTTTCCACTTGGTATATAAGCTCGTTTAAAGTTATTGACATTGGGATATCGGATAAATAATGAAAGACTACTTGCTAACTTTGGGCTGCAATAATTAACTGCAGCTGCTCGATCATTTATCGATTTGTTTTTACCAGCTCAAACCAATGCTTTTTTGCTAGATGGCGAAGTTAGTGAAGGTAAGTTTTTATATATTATAACTTATAGTTTGGGAGGGGTTATGACTTTATATATTTAGAGTTTTGACATCAAAACAACAGCAACCTATATACCATATGGTTTATCGCATTAAATCGTTAATATCGGTGACTAGTCAGTGCAGTTATAACAACTGCATGTTTATAATGCCAGTTCTAAAAATTTGCAATACCTCAAATTCTAAACGTAAATCTGCGAGTGTGTACAAATATTCAATCGTATATCACTCGTGCAAAGCTATTTTATCCATTACCTGCGAGTGGCTCATTGGGCACTCGTTAATTGTAAGTGACTGCACACTCTACGTCATGTTTCTCGCTCTCCTGTGCCTCTCGCTCTCAACTTTAGCGTCGAGATAATTTCAAATACTGCATATTCAATTAATTACTGCATATTCAAGTTAATTATCAACGTATCAAATATGTGTTAATATTGAAACATGGTCTGCTATATAATGATTTTCTCATACATTAAGGTTGTGATTTCACCAATTGTTTCATAACTTCATGAGTAAACGTGCATTGCCTCCACTCGTCTTCTACAATTCCGCCGATTTTCTTATAAAATGAAATTGCGATATCATTCCAGCATAAAACGTTACAACGAATCTTTGCCAGCCCATTATCGAGTGAAATCTGGAAGAAGTTAAAAGAGTTTAAACACTTTTATATATATTCACCCCTTTGTATATAGGACAAAATACAACATCTTTAACATTGGGTAGTTGCTTAATTGCTTTTCATAATCTCCGGGATTATTTATGTACGAAAAATGAAGATCGTCTCGTAAGCCTTTCATGCGTGTAAATTCTCTATAGAACTATATTTCTTTATTGATGGTATAAAAATGGAAGATATAACTATATAAAAAACTTGGAAGACAACATGAAGGAATTTTTTATACCAATCAGGAAGTTTGTTTACATTTTCAGTAACCTAATCAAAATGCATAAATATTGGCTACTTCCAGTAAAAAGGTACATTATTCAACATTTTACATAAAGTATTAAAAATTGATTAGCTTAGCCTAAAGAATGTCGCCAACTGCAATTACCGATTGAATAGTCCTTGGAGATTTTGTACTAGCTTTTTTGATGGTTTAAATTCAATACTTAACATTTACTTAACCTGCGAAAGTCCATAATTTATAAACCGTCAGCCTTAATAATTCAGCAGGATAACGACTATATACTTTCGTATACCAAATGATAAAAATATTTCCTATCCACTCATAAAGATATAAGTTTTGGTCTAGCTAGCTCAGGAAATTATTTGCTTGGTTTGAAATGTCGAGGGTTGCTAGATGAGGGTTGCTTTTAGTAGAAATATGTGAACAAGGGTTTTTATTCTCCCAATGAGAACACCTCCAAATTTACTTTACCCGCTACTTATTTTGGGGACAATGCGGTTTTATCTCCGCATGAGGAAAAACCCTACCTTCCAATCGTTTAATTCTCATTGTATAGGCTCATATATAGTTATTTACCTTCGAGAGGCATTTTAAAAATTCTAGCCCAATTCCTTGACCTAATATAAATGAAAGAAGTGATATCAATTAGTGATATCGATTTCGGTGGAAAATAAAAAATTTGCCAGTGTATAGCTAACACGCGGTGATGCCGTTTTAAAAATATTTCAAAATCTACATCAACCTGTACCTCGTGAATCGGGTCTAACAAAGAGATCTTCAATCCAAAGCGATCTTCCTTTCCAAGTCGAATATGAATTGACATATATAGCATATCCTACAATTATTCTTTGTCCTAAAATTTTAGATAAGAGATTATTATTTTTACAGTCGATCTTTTGAAATCAGCTATATCTCAGTGTTTATCCTTTTATTTTAGCTACACCCATTTTTCGCCTTATTTTTATTTTTATAACAATAGATTTTAGATGAAAGTGGAGGTCAAGTCCGTAAAAAAGACGGAAAACGACGTGTTATCTGAATATCTAACATCTTCTGTGAAGGTTCGCTACGTGTCTAAATGAGTAGCTATAAACCAGAGCTTATATTCATAAAAATTCAAAACAAGCGAAACTTTGGGAAATTTTACATCAGGGCCAGCTAATTGATACAAGCACAACCGATGCTCAGAAAAGACTTGACTTCCACTTTGTAACAACCTAGGCTATACAGGGTGTATAAAAAAAAGGTAATCCAACTTTGGTGTGCTATTGTACGTGAACTACTCATTCTATTAACGAATTTTATTTCACATTCGGAAAGGCTAGGCTCTTAATTAACTATCGAATGACATGTTTTTAATTGGTAATGGTGAAAAAATGAGCAAATAGGAGGGTGATAAAAAGTGTTAGTCAAAATCGTATATTTTCAACTCTGAGAGTTGGGACTAAAACCATTCAAAATTAACCCCCTTTGGGACTTAATTGAAGAATTTTGCTTCTGAATAAACTACCCGCATATGGATATTAAGTAGGAATAAATCACATCAGAAGAACATTCGAAGAAATGTGGCGTAAAACCAGTGCAAGCTGTGACATGTTCATGATTAATTGTTTTTTTTTATGCACTGCTTTAATTAGGCTCAGTATTGAAAATATGCGATTACGTTTTTTATCAGCCTCGTATGTTCTCACTTTTTCACCATTTGGTATTAAAATGTCACCCGATAGTTAAAAGCCTGATCCTTCCGAATGTGAAAAAAATTGAGTAGTTCACGTACAATAGCGTGTTGAAGTTGGATTATCTTTTTTTACACACCCTGTATAGGATTGCTTCCCAATCTATATTAATTAAAAAAATATATTTTGTTTGCTGTCGTTTAGGACGTATACAGATTGTGCAGCAATGTTGATTTTGTGATATTGATGATTACTATTTTCGTCCCAAATGTTGTAAAAATCTCCACATGTTATACACACATGGAGTAGTATACCAAATTTGCGAACTTTCAACATTTTGCAACGAAACTTCCAGTTTCTCTGATTATGATGTTAGTAGGTTTTTTCTAGGTGTAGAGTACACTTCCTTTCCATATTTGGAAAACATCTCTCCTTCAAATAATGTTTTAAATAAACAATCGTTCGACTAATGTTTTCAATACCATGCATGTGTTTTTACAATTCTTATGTTGAATATGCTTCGACCTATCTTTTGAGAGTTTCGTTTCTAAAACTATATTCTAGGGAAAACGGTATTGATTTTAAAACAAATGTAATTTAATCTGTATAAACACTTAGCTATAAAACCATATATAGACACTTCCAAAAACTTACCTTCATTTTGTTTTTCAGCTACAAGACATCTAAACGTAGGTGAATCTCCGAAACCATCTTTCCTCAGCACTATATATAAAGATATACACATTATAAGCTTCATCAATAGTTGACCGTAGGTCTAAGAAGGCACTTTCGAGTTTTGACAAAAAAATAAATATATTGGTCATCGTAAAGTGAATTAAATCTAGCTTAATTAAGCCATATTTCCCGTTTTAAAGAATTCACCTTCTTCAGTAACTTCAACAACAGATTCTGGTTCTTTTTCATAAACAGCTAAATCCTAAAAAAATGATCAAATGTCATAAATTGTATATAGCTAGCTAAAAAATACTACAAAAAATTGATGGCAAAAGTATAAAAGAATCCTTTGTTGCAGAGAGAATTTTAGATTTCTCCCTCATATAGTCATATTTCATCTTCTCCAAATTTCATGATTGAAGAAGTGACAAGAAAACAATAAATAATATTAGATTTTACACATGTTATTTTATTACTTTAAACAACCCCAACTCGCGAAAAAATTCCTTACCAGGTACTGCATATACAAGTTATGGTAAAAGGATAGAATAGTAATGAGAGCACAATTAAACTCTATACGTTCAGGAAATTTAAATTCATTTTTTAAAAGTTTTCACTACTGGGTACTACCGCAAAAATGTTAGCTAATTCGAAAAGCAGAATAATTTCTCTAATAACGACAAACATTCGAGTGCCAAATTTTGTTTTTGGGCGTTAAAGGTGTTGTTTGCATGTTAACCGGCGAGCTAAAATCTCTTTCAACTATTCCAAAGTCCATTACCAGCAGCATTAGCTCATTTTGAGATTTGAACAAAAATTGGTTGGCAATTACTTAATATAAAACCTAATTTGTTGCTTTATTGTGGACGCTCGCCTCCTCCGTAATCCACAATGTCACAATTTATTTTTATGTATTTTTGTTTCACACTCGCGGTTGTGTCATAAGGTGACGACAGTTCGATACTTTATATTACTGTTTATATATAATGTATTGTTCATCTATTCATTCAAAGTCTTCGACAGCTGAAATAAATGTTAATTTCACCAATTTCACCCTACTGTTATTATCAGACTTCAAGGTTTGGTTGACAAAGTGAATGTTTGCATGTTTTTTCCAAAGTGTGTGTAGCACAAGTTGCTGACGATTTAATAAAGATGGCGGCTTGCATGTACAGCCAAAAAATACCAATATAAATATAGTAGGGGTCAAAAGTCGATAAATTTTCTTAATTTACAATAAATAATATATTGTGAGTTGGAAATTAGATATGCTGATCTGAACGTGCGCATTTTTTATAGTAATTATCTCCCCCAATATGTTTTCTTGTTAATTCTCGTCGTATTTAAGTTCTACAAGAAATGCGGATTATTCTTTTTGTGGACAAAAGATGGCAAAACTCGTTAGCGGAGAAAAGAGAGGTCAGATAATCGAAATCAACAATGAACTGGATGTTTTAGTGAAAAATTGAAGTGATGTTATGTGAAACAATTACTTTATGGTTTTCGTATTTTGGTATCCTGATCCAATTAAACTTTTAGGATGTTGCAAAAGCTTTCTTCAAGCCTCTTTTCGTTAACTGCAACATTCCCGCAAGCAAGTTTCGATCAGGGCATCCCCAACAGGAAAACCATAAATTACTGAAATATCAATAATATTATTACAGTTTGCACAATAATACGTTTGGTTTCTTTTGTACAAGAAACATAACACTAATACTTCCCTGATGGGGTAGAGATCCTTGCATTGAAACATTCTTAAGGCAGCTAGGAAACAGGTATTAGAGGCATGTGACAGAATGTTGGTGTTTTAAAAATTGTAAAATATTTTGAGCATATATTATATAATTATTACATATTATATATTATACACTTAATGTATGCTCCCGAGGGAAATAGTAAGTTTTGTTTTCCCAATTATAAGAGTCTGATTTCTGAATGTTTCTGAATGTTTCCCAAGATGAAGTTGAGGGAAACATTGGGACTCGAGGGAAAACAAAACTCACTATTTCCCGAGGTAGTGTACATTAAGTGTTTTGTTATAGGAATGAAAACATACATGTTACACAACAATTTCATTTAAAAAACCCCACTTTACTTTGTTATGACAAGAAGCGGGCAACAATTTCTTACTTGTTTTCTTGGCGTGAAACATTGCATTTATGTAAAATCATGTGACTACGAATGAACCAATCACATTTAAAGTACAATGTAAAATCATGTGACTACGACTGAACCAATCACATTTAAAGTTCACAGTATACCTATATAACAATACATATTATATATAATTTATGTTGATATTAATATCTAGGTGATATTAGTATCTAGGTATTAGTATCTGGAATTTAGAATTCTATTATTTTGACTAACATATAAAACATCTTGGACCTAGCAAGGTTCATATAAAATGTTGCTATCTGCTAATAGTAAAAAAAATTAGAAACAGGGGTTTTTTGGTAATTAAACTCTCCAAGCCTCAAAAAAAATCTTGATTTTCTAATATAATTGCAAGAGAAAGCTTGGAGCTAGGGCAAGCATTGTAGAGCCAACCTGGAGCCAGAGGCCCCTTAATTGGGCCCAAATCTTATTGATTTAAAATTAATTATTGGTACCTTAAATGTTGGGAACCTAATTGACAACTGGGCAACAGTAGCCTTTTATGTATATAAGGGTAATTTATAGCATGCATAAAAAGGTTATCCGTAAAGGAGCACTTAGCTCTGTGGGTTTTACCAGTCTTTAATTGACAAAGATTGTAAAATTGAAATTAAAAAATTAAAGTAATTTCGATACTTGGGTCATTTTTTAGTACTCTGGGCCCTTTCTTAGCATTTTGGTATTTGCTAAGTATTTGCTTACCCTAGCTTTGCTGGCCAGTTGGTCTTGAATTAATCAGGTGCCTGAGCTAGTGCATGGGATGCAAATTAATTGTACCACACAGTGCAACAACATATTTATGCTTGCCAAATGGAGCATCCGGTTTCAGGGGTTGAAATTGCCAGCCTTTAAACCTGGCCTTGTGTGGTTGAATTCTCACAATTAATTCCCACAAGGTTACAATTTTTTAAAGTACAAGCTTGACCTCCTCCACAGTCCACCCCAGGCCAACCCTAATTTAGTTCCCTTGGAAACTTGCAGACTTACAGTGTGAGAGAAATTCATAAAAGGTGAACAAAAACAATTTTTCCTTTTACCACTTTTCCATTTTACCTAACTGCACAGCACTGGACAACAACTATGTCATCAGCTACTTTGCCATGAGCCAACATACCTTTATATACCTTACAATTGCAGCACAATCATCAGGTCTACCATTTCTGATGATAAACCCATCTTTCTCAACAACTTTTGGAAGTTGAGGAATGTTTTCTGCAGCAGTTCCCATGACTCACGATAAAATATATGTGCTATAAAGCCGTTGTTTTATTATCAAACTTTATTATTCAAATGAAAAAACTATGAGCGAATGAAGTTCAATGAACTGGACAGTAACTGGTCACTGTGACACTTTCGCATTGCTATGACGTAATGCATAATTACGTCATAGCAATGCGAATGGGGAATATAAAAAATACAAATCGTATTCCTGGCCCAGCCTCGTACCCAGGCGCTTTTAAAGCTTTGAAAATGGCGTGCGTGGGCGTCGCGCAGCTCCCCGCGATTTTTCGCTTCCCCCGCGTGTCGTCCCACGCAGCTGCGCGACGCACACGCACGCCATTTTCAAAGCTTTCAAAGCGCGTGGGTACGAGGCTGGGCCTACAATGAAAACTTAGTCTTCCACCTTGTCAAAATTTTCTTTTGGCTTTTTTCACTCCCTGAGGCTTAGGTCTGCAAAGCACCTGAGGGTGCGCGAACACAATTTCTCTAGTGTGCAAGTTGTAATTTTGATCCGTTTGATGGTTAGCTGATGGCATTATGGTGGCAACGTAGCAGAACTGGAGGCATTGGTGAGGGGAAATTAAATATGAATTTCGCACCGGTCAACAGCAAAGCGTAATTTGATCCTAAAAATTTCATTATGATAATTGGTATTAAAATATATGTGTACATCAGTAAAGCGTGTGAGAGGTTTAGTACCAAAAGCAAATACATGGCGCTGTTTCTAGGCTTTGTCCTGCTATTTTTCATCCAACTTTCTGGCGAAGGTAGAGCGACAAAATTGAAGTCGCTTAATTTTGGAACTAAAACAGCTTACAATCATGACAAATTCTCAAGTGTTTCTTCACAACGTCCTGATAATTGTACGCCTGCTCGCATCGAATTCATATCTCGGCACGGTTCGAGATTCCCTAGTAACGGCGACAGGAAGGATATCGATAAACTATTGAAAAAATTAAACGGAGTTTACACGGCAACCCCTTCATTTCGGCTCAAAAATCTCACGTTACCTTGGCGTAAATGGGCGGTATGGAACGACGCAGATGCGAAGGAATTATCGCCTCGCGGGGAATTTGAGCAATATACAATCGCGAAACGGTTGCGCTCGAATTTCGCTGAAGTATTTGATAAACCGCATTGGAATAAGTACTACAAGTTCATCGCAAGAGATAAACGTCGCACAGCTCAAAGTGCAATGGCCTTTGCCTTAGGACTCTTTGAAAACAATACCACACGGTCGCAGGGTGAGTACTAAGCCTGTAGGCTTTTCAACAAGCGATATTTTTCGCGCGAAGCGGATTTATTCAATTGTGCTTAAGCAATTTGTACCAGATGGTGCAGTTGGCAGCTCTGAAACAAAAGTAAAACCGGCCCTATGCGGTAATCAAATGAATCAAATGACCATCGTCGTCATATACAGTATAACAAGAAAAAAATGAATTGACATTGTTGTATATTGCACACAAATAATCTCTTAATTGTTTTTAAAAATCTTAAATAATTAACACTTATTTACTGCGACCGAAGGAAACATTATGTTTTGTGGACCGGAGAGCTGAAACACTGAGCCAGTTTCCTCACGCCTCGACTAAACCACTAAACTCAAGCGTTTCAATTTGTTCCAGGACCAGGGAGATCAAAATTCCGGTCGGTCGCTATAAAATCTGCAGGTCCAGAAGAGAACGACAAACTGCTGTCGTCGTACGACGCATGTCCTCGTTATGTTGCCGACAGCGACAAAAATGGCCTTCCTGAAGTCGAAAAGTTTACCCAAGGCCCGGAAATAAGAAATGTCATACGAACAATAGAGAAACGTCTTCGAATCAACGGAACAATATCCCTGACATTCGAAGACGTAGATGTGATAAGACGACTTTGTGCTTTTGGAATAATGAACCACGAAGATGATAGCTGGTGTGCTTTACTCGACAGTGCAAGCTTAGATGTTATGAATTATGTCGGAGATTTGAAAAACTTCTACGAACACTCGTTTGGGAACGAGCTCGGCTATGAAATAATTTGCGTTCTTTTGGCAGACATTATCGAAAACCTCGAGGACTTTTCGAAGGGATCTAGTGAAGCTCGTGGAGTTTTTAGATTCGCTTCCTCGGGAACAATGTTTGCTCTCTTGACTGCGTTGGGGGCATATGACAATGGCACAACTTTGAGCGCTTCCAATTTTCGCCCGAACAGTAGTCGGCGGTTCCCGTCACGTCTCGTACCAATGTCGGCTAATATCGCCTTGGTATTGTTCAAGTGTAATCTGAGAGGAAAACAGAACGAAACACAGAATTACAAGGTAAAAACATAACTCAGTTCCTCTATTAAGTCCAGTGTCCTGAAGAAGTCTACACTGCATGGCATTGGCAGATTTCCGTTTTAACCAAATCTTTCAGGCCTGGGCCAGTTGTTCGAAACGTGAAAAAAGCTATAGTGATAAGTGATTTTTCAGTTCAACCGTCGTAAAAAGGCTTTAAAAAGTTATAAAGCTACTGCAATCAGTAAAAAATAAAAAAGAGCTAAAATTCGATGTTTTGACTGTTTTATCGAACTTACTCGTGCATAATCTTTTTGAAATCTTGCTTCCTTTCAATGTGCGGTTGAACTTCCCAATGACGTCAGTATAGTGCACAGGTTTGCTTGAACTTGCATGGACAAAAGGATTTAAGATATATTTACAGCAGCGTCTATTTCGACTGTACATGTTCATTTCAGTCTTCCAAGAAGGATTACGGCAATCACAACCTCTCAGAGTAATTTGGGGGCCCGGGGCAAAATCCGGCTTGGGGCCCTTTCACTATGGGCGCAGTTTACTCCGATCTTATCTTATTGTATCGCATCTGCAGCTCCATTTACACTATATAATTTATTGTCACAGCAAGGCTAAAATTGGTATCGGGTACTTGGTACACAGTTTTTATCAATTCTCGGCCATTCGGATCCAATTGGTGCAGGTACCCACTTTAGCCGTGTCGCGCCAGGAAAACTATGGTTTGCCAGTTTTTTTACCGGGGAATAAAATTTCAAGTAGTTAAAAATATAGTTTTAAAGTGGCAACGACATTTGGTTATTTCCTTACTAAAAACTTTCCGAAATCAACAACAGCATAGCAGAATGAAACGTGGTCAAATCGCTTAAAAATGACACTAAATATGATACTAAATGTCTTGCATTTTATAATAAATTGTGAATTAGAACAAATAGTTAAGTACAAAGCGTTTGAGTTGCCATTGTTATAAAATTGTTGTCACATCCAACTAATTTTACCATGGCTGTGCGATCCTGCTAATAAATTAGCGAATTTGCAACTGTGAACGCCGTTGTGAACGACACGACCATAACGCCTAGTAGGCGTCTTGTTACTTTTAAATAATTTCACGCTATACTTAGTTGGCTTCTTTGTTTTCACACAAATAGCAGAGAAATTCTTAAGGATTTTCAGCAATATTCTTTGAAAAGCAATAGTTACTGCTGAGAGTTGTCTAAACAATTTTTATTTTATTCTTTATTCTTGACTCACTCATTCTTAACTAGGGGTCCGGGGAAAATTGACCCTTTTTACCCCTCCCCCCCCCCTCTGAGAGGCCCTGACGGCAATAGATAATTCGGCAGGGTTGAATGAACCAGCCAGCGGTAACTTGGTCGGACACCATGCAACCAAACTTTGAATGAAAACTACTGAATCATATGCGTCATGTTTTTTTAGGTGCAAATTTTGATCAACGAGAAACCCATGGGTTTACCGTGTTGTCAAGGAAATATCACGTGTAGCTTTAAAGAATTCCTGGCTTATTTTAAACACACTGTCGACAATTGCGACTTCGATGCGATGTGCGCCCTACGAAAAGATAAATCGACTACACCGAAAGCGTTGGGATTGGTTAACCGACCAGGACTCTTGCTGGTGATGATGGAAATGCTTTTTGCAACATTTAAGATGTTAAACTTCTAAAACTCCCTATCGTTGGACGTGCTTTTTACACTGTCGCTTTTGTTAATTGTTATTTTGAGAAGGTAATAAAAATGTATAGTTGTAGTATTGCCACGTCGTGCTTTTTTCATGAAATATTTCGACTGAAATAAAGGAACTTTCCTCCACCTTGAAGTGCCTTCTAACCTCATTAACCACAATTTTGATGGCGTCACTTCCGGGATTGACTGTTTAATTAAATTCCTCCTAGCTTATAAAATCCCAACCAAAACATCGTCGATCTTTTGTATTTCCGGCTCAAATTACACGGATTTACCTATTATATTATTATACTCCTTCCATAAAACTGACTAAAAGACAAACTATTTTCTATTGCCCCCTATTTTATTTTGTAAGGAAGTCCAAACCATCACACTAACTGTTAACTCGAGCTAACTGCTATTTGCACGGGATTGCATGTCACTAAACGAAACAATTATAGTTAATGAAATAAATATTAGTTGAAATCGAATGTACATAAAAAAAGAAAATTTTCTTCAATTCTCGAAATTAACGGCGTAAGATAGTCAATTTCTAACTTTATATTATACAAACCACAACATTGCGAGTCACAAAGAAATCGTGTTTATTGCCGTCATAGTATAATTGTGTTGAGAAGCCGTTTAGAATAAGTACATAATTTCACGAACGTATTTCAGATTGATCTGAACATATTGATGATAATATTTACCACGTTTCAGAAACCTTTACCGGCTGATAATTCACTTATCCAAAAGGGACGTCATTGTGAGTCGTGATGCTATCTGGGTTATACATGAAGCGAAAACTCTTTTTCTCTTTAAAACCTTTTTCTCTTGTAGTTCACCTATTCCTTGTTCAACAAGTTAGCTGTTTTAGCCATTTAGGTGTTTTAGCATCCCCAGTTGGTAGCAACTATAAAGAATCAGGCTTTATCGTGTACATGTCTGGTTTTAGTTTTTTCCGAAATCGCTGAATAATCCTGCATTAACCCTGCATTGTCTGAATAGGTGAATTTCAGCATGTATAAAGGTAAAGGTTTTTATTGAAAAGATTAAGAGTGTGTGAACAAAATTCAGATAACCACACTGAAACTTTTATTCAATTAAATTGGATCGTACATAAATGTACACCATTTGCTATTTAGTGACAATAAGAAACTATTGTCATTGCTTTTGCACCGCCACATACATAATATATGTATATCGATGTACATATAATATCTAATATATCTATTTCAATAACGAAAAATTTTGAGATCGGTTACAGACTGTAGAAGTAGTGGGCAAACAGTGTACATTTATGTTATGAATAATTACTCGAGCCATAAATCAATTCATAATATAATAATTTCCGAGGTATGCCTAAAATAACCGTTTTTCGTACCTAAAAGGGAAAAAAGGCATGTACTCAGCTTAGACGAAATTTAAAAGAGGCTGAAAGATGCGATTCATTTAATATAAAACTTTCAATCGTTGAAATTGAGTTAGGATTAGGGCTAGGCTAGGTTTACGATTAGGAGTTGTGGAGTATACCAATGATATAAATTGTATGTACAGAGGCTTGAGAAATATGTTCTTTATTGAAATTTTTGGTAAAAACGTTAACTACTTTATATTCGAAGCCTAAATTGGGAAAACCACCACACTTTAAATAACAAATTGTCGTTTAACTCACGAATGCAATCCGTGAACACCGCCTTCTATTTGCCCAGATACTGTCCTTTTTTCAAATCGTATCTCACCACTGTACGTCATTGCCCTGCAAACGAGAACGTGTGGCAATGCGATTGAAAAAAAAATTAACTCAGATACATGGAAAAACGAATCGCCAAACTGGAGTCACAAAGGGATCGCAAATAGGCCACAAAAAATTTTTCGGTTTTGGAATGTAGCGTTATTTCATGGATAGAACTATAGCAATGCCAGAAATATTCCTGCTTCGTTTACAACTTGAAACTTTGCTGCGATTTATGCATGTGCCATTTTTATTTGATATAATCCCTATTTATATATGATGAGGGGCCGGTTGTATAAAACTCCTAGTTAAATCCTAGAAAATCAGAAATACACGACTCTTATTGGCCAATTCTGTCCTTAACTACAGTTAAAAGTTAACTAGCTCGTTTGAATAAAAATGTAAACAGGACTAAATGGAAAAATGTCTTCGTAGTATAATGTGAAAAACTCAGGACTTACGAGGGTTTATAGAACCTGCCATTTGGCCCAAATATAGTCGAACTCACCTCAATTTGTCCAAACTGCATGCACCAATATCTTGACATCCTTGTTGTATGCCAGTGATAAGGTACGGAACGAACCGATGGATCGTCCCTTTGTCTACCACGGACCCAGCAACGCCTTGGGCAACCTTCACTCTTGCACTTTCACTAAATATCAGAACACTCAATTTATTCCAAAAAATGTGTTTTATATATAGGCTATAGGCAAACAGAGCCAGTGCATTCTTTTCAATGAATAATGTGAAAAATTTAATCTCGTGGGACGATACAGCTCCAAAACGTAAATGAGGATTCGCAATGGAAAGTGTTTAGCCCTCCTGTCACCACATAAAGAAGATTATTCCAGCTTACCTAAAATATCTCGCCTGACTTGACTTGTTCGCATCCATAGCATTAAGTGATCCCATTCCTGTGATGAGAAAAATAGCGTTGTAGATAATCGAACTATGTACAGTCAGGCCATAGAAATAATAGACATGTCTATTATTTCTACGAGTCAGGCACACGACCCACTTTGTTCTTATTTTATCAAGGTTGTGACTGGCGTTGTTGGACGTTATAACATACTGTCGGAGCAATTTTGACTATAGTGCAACAAGCATGAAAACAAGTCGTTTAATAAATATAGCAACAATTGGAGATCTATTTCGTAATAATTTCAATATTTCCGCTTCTATACAGCTATTCTATAGTTTCAAACGTTTTTCAAACAATTATTAATGTCTTTTCATGACGTATAAAACTACACTAGGACTACCTAAGAGATGGTGGTGAAAGATTAAAATCATTTCATTTAAACCATCAAAATCACAAAACATGTCTAAACAAAATCCAGGGCCAGTGGTATAAAAGACAAGTTAACTATTAACTGCAATTAAGGACAGAATTGGCCAATGAGAGTTCTGTATTTCTGAGTTAACCATGACTTAACTATGCAAAATGTAGTTAAAGGATTTTATACAACTGGCCTCTGTATATCAGTAGGTGCTAAGCATTTTATTGTCAAAATCTATTAAGCGACTACTGACTACATGTATGTAAGAATTACTATAAATATGCAACATACCTCGATATTTCTTTAAACGAACACCATCGGCAAAGTAGTATTCACCCGGAGCTTCCGAGGTACCGGCAAGAAGTGAACCCATCATTACTAGCGAACGAAAAAGACAAATGAACCGAATTGACCATTCTGAAGTGAACAAAAATTCACCGTTCTACAAACAGCCTTATATATTGTTACGCAAGGCTTTATTGTGTTTAGATATATTCATGTTAAAAATAGCTGTAAAATAGGAATATCAATTGCATGACAGGGATTGGTGATTGATTTTTGCCGCAAGATGCCTGAGTAAATATAATTTTCGGCCATTCGCAATCATTAATCGCCTTTCCCTTTCATGTATGACATATCGTGGGTTTAAAAAAGTTATTAGGTGAAAATATTTATCACCCTTATTTTCAGAGCTAATACCTGGATAAACAGTCTTAAGTCGTCACTTATCTTAATTGTCGTATTTTTTAAAAAAAATGTGCGTGCTGTAGGCAATGCAAGCTCTTATGTCAAACAATTGTGGTTAAAATTTTGCGCGGTTGAGCATGTAATAGATTACGTCATCAAAAGTTCAATTCGGCAAAATGAGAGTGAAAATAGTTTAAGTTAAAATATATTGTTCACAGACGTATTATTTGTAAATTTTACTAGTTGTTGATGATAAATATTTTAAGTTGTGAAAATTTTTTAATATTGATCGATTGAACAGAAAACCAACTCGACTAGTGCGACAACGCCTTAAATAAACAAGATATGAGAGCTGGAGCGAGCTTCTAAGGCCAACCCACATTTCTAACTTACAACGCTGATTGGTGGGAGAAGGGTCAGCCCACTCTGGTTGATGACGTGAGCTAGTTTCCCTCAACCGTTACTATAAAAGGGCGAGCACAACACCCGAACCTTCAGTGGACCAACGGAGTAAAAACCATGTGAAACGTTGAAGAAGCTCAACAATACAGAACCGACGAAAAGACAGAACAGTAACGACGAAGATCCAGAAGATGGCTGTGATGTACTCACTATTTATCTCACTATAATACCGCTTCTCTGTTACAGTTTCAGAATGGACAAGAAGTTTTACTAAAGGAATTCTAAAGGAGCATGCGTTCGATTCATAGAGGAAGGTATTCTCAGATCGTGAAAGGAGGCAGAAGGGTGTTCAGTGCATTAAAGAGAGAAACGGACGCACTCGTCCAAAAATCCTCAGGTGCATGTGCATGGCGCTTGTTTCGACCCACATATATGATGAAGTGTTTCGACACGTCAGAGAACAAGTTTAAAAAGATTTATAGACCTGGCCTATCCCCAGCTATATTGGTTAGCAGGCTAACCTATAGAAATTGGTCAAGTGCATGATTGCCGGATGAACAGCATTAAAATTCGATCACTTTCTCTCAAATAGCTTGTAACCGATCTTTAATACTCCTAAACACTGTATTTGTTGCACGATTTAAAAACAAATTTACAGCAAGACTACATGTAGTGAGGTTCGACGGATTTAAGGACGATCGACGCCAAAAATTTGTTTTTTACGGCCTACTGCACAAATTAAGATGCTGATACGCTCGCTCGCAAAACACAAGAAATAGAGTCATAGGTGGACGTCCACGAACAACAAAAGGAATGCAGTAAAGATCCCTGTGGAACACCATCTTTATTTGCTCGTGAAATGCAGTTGAGATGCCGAAAAGCATTGCGGCATTTAAAGTAATACAACCCCAGAACTGGTGAGGGTTGTTTGGGTTTAAATAGAAAGCAATATTTCAGTTTGAAAAACTAAAAATAGGGTTCAACTTTTAGCCGGTTATGAATACACACATACGCTGTATACAAGAGCATGCGCTGTATACAAGAGTAATCATTAGATGATACTTTAAGCAATTCTTCTGCAAGACACCTGATATTTTCTAAAAGCTCATGATGTAGTGTGATGTCATTAGTTGTGTTATTTGAATATTATCTTACAACGTTCAATATCCTGAGAACGAAGAAAGTTAACAAAATTCTACAAAAGCTCGTTTTAGGTTTTCTTTACAGTGCAACCATAAAAATAGAGGTAAAATTTCGTTGCAGATGCATGCATGCACTTTAGGCCGAAATATCTATATCTCAAGGCGGATATCCATTGAGTGCAAAATGTCGCGCGATCGATTTTTTTTGCGATCGCTTCCTTTTGAAATGTTTTCAATCAAGCCCATGTATATATATAATGAGATCACAGTCCCATAAACTTTACTGTTGGTATTTTAAAAGTAAACGATCGCGAAAAGTTGATCGCGTGATATTTTGCACTGAATGAAAATCTGTCTTAATGCTAAACGTTCACCTACCCGTAGATGCTCCCAAGGCCAAAGCCTTTGTGACGAATCCAACAGTCGATATTCCGCCATCAGCGATAACTGGTATTCCAAATTCTCTCGCGTAGTTTGCAACTTTGTAAACCGCAGTTCCTTGTGACCTTCCAACTGCCATAACCTCTTGTGTAATACATATCGAGCCGCTGCCCATTCCAACTCGCAAGCCGTCCACTCCGGCGTCGATTAAGTTCTTCGCTTGAGCGACCGTCACCACATTCCCACCAATGATCTGGAGGCCAGGATACTGCTCTTTTATGTACCTGGAGTGGGGATACTTCATTTACTTCATGTTATTGTAAGAAACCGAAAATTGCTCAATATTACGATTCATCGTTGTTTCTAGCAAACTAAATACACATAGCTTAGCTTGAAAAAAACGACGAGAGAATGAAGTAAACGATGAAAAGACTGCTGTGTTTCCACATACTTGATCATATTTATTTGATATATCGAGTTTCCTTGGGACGAATCCAATACTATGACATCAACTCCAGCTTCAAACAAGGCTTTAATTCTGGGTTTGTCTTCTTCTCTTGTACTTACGGCTGCACCAACTGAAATAAATAAAGCGGTACATTAATAATGAACTGTTCGCAATCTATAGCGTTATGAATATAAACATTTTGCATGCACGTGCATGAAATACATCCAAATTTTAAAGCCACGTCTTTTGTCATAAGTGTGAAAGATCGGAGTCGGACTAAATCTTGGATAGTCTATCTTCTAAACACAACGGAACAGCGAACTGTTGGAGTGCGAAGAAGCATTTTCTCTACGGAAGTGAAATGAACGAGATTGTGGGGGCTAGCTTTCCGCTCCACACATACGGTGGCAAAAAGCGAGCGCTGTATTATGCGGACATATACTCGCTCTCTCTCGAATCCATCACGTACGTTATCTCGCAATTAGCCATAATTCTGGTGGAGCGTGATGGTCTTAGCAGCCTAAATGCCATGCATTATTAAATGGTAGGGGCTATCCGTATGGTTCCTAAATCACTTACAGCACAAAATCACTATTACAATAGACCTACAAAACATTAACCCGACAATTTCATTCACATTGGTACATAACTTATATATCACCCAAAAATTGTCATCTACTCTAAAGCTTGTATCTCGAATTCACAAAATAACTGCGAGTTGCGACTTATGAGAAGCCCAGTAACGCACTAAATAGAACTAAACTTTCGAAAATCATGACCGGAAGTAATTCTCAATGAATCTTCTTCTCTATAAATTCGCTTACAATGCCAACAACGGCTTGCTGGCAGAAATATGAAAGCAGTGAAATAGAATGCAAGCCATCATGACATTATGATAAAGTTTGGTGGCGCGGTCGTTAGAACAAGTACCTTTTACCCTCAAAGGTTTCTCGTTGAAACCTTTTGCGCATTGGGCATTCGGATTTCCTTTCAGGAAAAAGAGGGAATATTGAGCGAATGGGTCAGGTTATTCAGATAGAAAGTTTAATGTAAGTATAAGAGCGAGGCACTTGACATAAAAATCCTTCCATAAAAACGTCCAGCAGGAAGGCGAAATGAATAATTGTGTGTTCGTACAATATACGAGGAAGCGGAAGAACGTAATCGTTACAGACAAATTCGAGCTCTGGCTGAAGGCAACTTCACTAAGGCAAGTTTCACGAAATAATTACGATGAGGATGATGCCCACGGAAGTTATCCGAATCAATTTCTTACCCGATTTAAATTTAAGTCAAGTACAGTGCGTGATCGGTGTTAACAGTTTAGTAAGTCGTCTGCATCGTCATACTGTACTAGTGTATCGAAAAGTGCCAATAACAATAGGGGCTGGTTGTTGCTTTGGAAAATAGTTCTAACTATAGGTTAAAAATAATAATCATAAATTTCTAAAGCGCTCTTCCGAAAAATGTTCAAAAGCGCTAACTCGCGGAAAAAGGCTGTTCCCGAAACTAATGGAAGAGGCTGTTCAAAAACATTTAAGAATAAGAGCCTTAATTAATTTTATTGCGTTCATTTTAGGAAATGCTGCATGTAGGATAATATTGTTGTTTTATGGTTCAGTCAACAACGACGCTGACACAAAAACATACAGTTATATTGCTATCACCTTCAGAGGTGTAGGAACCCCTGGCGAGTTAGCCATCCCCTCCCTATCAACATTTAAAGTCATGAGAGGTGAAAAGTTTTCTTTTTCTATGGCTAACATTGGTATGTCAAACATTTGGAAGATATCCGAAATAATAAAATTAGTGAACGTCTCGCTGCAAAGAAGCTTTATCAAGCTCTGGGTTGTCATTCACGATATTTAGGGAACAGCACCGGGAATAGTAGTAATATTGACATTAAAAAGTGCCCATGAAAGACTTCTACCCCTCCTAACATTAACTTGCACGCCCAGATCACCGTGCAAAGCAACACAAATTCTATACTTCAACAAACAAATAATGATATATAACCATGATATACCCAGTAGCTGTTTAGTACTGTCCTTTGAAGCGAGAGGATACTCGCGGTTTTTCTTAAGATCAGACCTCGCAATTAACGACACCAGCTCATTTTTTTCGTTCACGATCGGTAATTTTCCTTGAAAATAGAAAAAAAATTCTTTAACATTACCCACGTGATTACCCATTGATAGAAAAGTATGAAGAAAGCCTGATATATAGACTAAATGTTTTCTAATTTAATATATTTTCTGGCTTATTTAGTGGCCGGATTATTTCTAACTGCTCCAGGTAAGGTCTTGCAAGTACGTAAACCATGATCCCTTTCTGTATGTTTTAGTCTGTTTTAGGAAATTTTAACGAATAATGGTTTCCTTAAAAGATTCGGCCCTTGGTGGTTTTCAGTAGGATGTCCTACAGTAAATGTGTTACTGAAATGCGTTTCACGTATTTCACAACATTTCACATACATTGTTTCCAATCTCTGCCTTTACACTCTTTCATTACGTGAATTTCAAAAAATTAAAAAAAGGTGTTAAAAAATTACAAAGCCTTGAGAGCTCAAGAACGTATACTAATTCTAATCAATGCAAATTTATTCAACCGTTAATAATATTTGAGAAATAGAAAGCATTTTCGTGTTTTCATACAGTTCTACGGTTCCATGGAGTTTGAAAGAACAAGAAATAATATTTGATTTTGTGGATCACCAATTGAGATTGAAGCAATTTTCTACGTTATTTCTAGTTCCACCATGCAAACTTCCACAAGTGTTTCTGTAAGCGTTTCTATACTATAAGTGGCATCAAAAACATTTGTTAGAATCAACTGAAAATTACCTTTCTTGCTTTCTTGAAGTATTTTGTTTGCCTCTACCAAGGTGCAGCCAGCTTTGGCGACGATTAACTTATCTCTTGGAGTCATCACCTGTAAAACGTATCGATACGCCGTTAAACTCGACCTATTTTTTGCGCACATTTATATGAAATCGTTGTTGGCATTATGACACACCTCTGTCACTCGAACCGAGAGGCTGTCAGCATTGAGAAAGTCCACATCACGGTGTGTAACAATACCAAGTAACAGGCTCCCCATAGTACCGCTCTCTGAAAAATATGGAGTTACAGTAGGCACTTGTAATATGACGTATCACACAGGTAGTCCACCATCTTGGGTGGCCATTGTTTATTTTTAAGTAATTACTGCATACCATGGGAACCTCACACCCTTTTCGAAACAACAAATAGGACAAAATTACAAGCCACAGCGCTACAATGTCAGGTGCATTTTATGATGTTTCTTTCAAATATAGTAGCTGTATCTAATTTTGGCAAAATATACACATACGCTGTGGATTCGTGCACATTCGGATTATACCCGTCTCCGAGCTCTAAGATATATGAATAATCAACTATTCTGAAATAACAAAATATGTTTCATATGAGTCTGAAATCAATCACGAGTTAAAAAATAGGCCCAAACATGACACGAATAGGAGCAACACTTTATTTTGATCGCGAGATGATCTAAGGAGGAGAATTATCAACTAACAACTGATTGGGGCTGCTTTTCCGAAGTTCTACACACATGCGTCTGTGATTTTATAAGCTCAATCACGCCCACGCTCACTAAATGAAAGATATTATGTCAGTTCATTAGGTACTTAAGACCCTTGAAAGATCAAGTACGAGCACTCGAAAGTGCTTGAAAGTACTAGAATCGTAAATAAGCACCATGTACCATCTATAAGTAAATTTACTCCACAATTTCGTGTTGGTTTACCACGACTTAAGCCCCGTTTACATTACATGCACTCGATTTATTGGCACAGCATGGCTAAAATTGTGTGCCCAAATTTTATTAGTGTTCAGGCTAACAAAACAAAGACAGAGCAGAGATGAAATGGGTAAGTTTACCCTGACTTGGTGTGCCTATTAAGGTCACCGATCACACGATCCAATTTTGTTGGATCCAATTCACTTCTGACGTATGTAGTCGGTTATTGATAAAGCAGTACTGCATTGGCCTCAGTGGATTTGCTGCTCATATACATTACAAGACAACAGACTATAAAACATCCATCAGAGGTGAATTGGATCCAACAAAATTGGATCGTGTGAACAGACCTTCACACCATCTGTGGGTAAATTTACCCGAACATTTCGTGTTAGTTTACCATGACTTAGTGTGCCTATTACACCAACTGTAGGTAAATTTACCAGAACATTTCGTGTTAGTTTACCCTGACCTGGTGTACGGACAATGAACAATGAGAATTCAGAAATTAAAAGTGATTCCAAATGACTCTTATTACATGGTTTTAAAGCGACACGTCGATTTCAATAGACTAACTATATACGTACATAATGAAAGCCGTTATACTAACGTCTAACCTGTAACCGGAATTCCAGAAAAGCCTTGTTTGTCTTTAATATCAAAAATATCTTTCACAAGAGCATCGGGACCTACGGCGACGGGATCGATAATAAAACCTTGTTCGAAACGCTTAACTTTCCGAACTTCGTTAGCTTGATTTTCAATCGAACAGTTATGATGAATGATGCCAATGCCACCTTGCAACTGCAAGAGAACACGAGGTAAATTGTCAGCATTGTAGCTATATCTGTTGTGATTACGGCATTAAAATTAATATGAAACGGCAAAACCGTCAAAGGTTACGAAGAAGATAATTTACATGCTAACTAGGGGTAAAATGTATTTATTAGTATAATAAAAGAAGTTAATATCGAAGAGTTGGCCCTCGCTTGGGTACCTAGCCGGGTGTTTGGCACGGGGGTATTTTCCCCGGGCCTTAGTATTTATATGGTTTGCCTCGTTGTTTATCTGCTTATTATCGCTTCGTTCGCCCCGCCTTCCTCCCCTGACATTCCACCCGTCTGGGGATGGTGTCCCTTTATTGTTTTTTAGTTTAGCTTCCTAGGTTCACTTAATTTGCAAAAGACTCCTGCGGTATGTATCTAATTATTTACTATGTGTGCATCGTGTGTGTTCTTGTTTTTCTTCCACGGTTTTCACTTCTGTGATTCCGTGTGACAGTGTGATCACGGGATGGAGAGGGTACCGTTTAGGTTCCATATCTGATGGACGTACGCATGATTGAAAATGACAGTAAAGACTACGCATCGCCAACCTCGTTCGCTTCGCCGAGCTCGTTCGCTTCGCCGTGCTGCCGTCTCCATCCCTACCGATCCGCAGCGGGCATAACCAGTTAGGTTACTATAGTCATAGTATTAAGTAAGCCTCGCCTAGCCTCGTTGGGCCTTATCTGAGTATATTAGCTAATGTTCAATCAAATAATTCTGATAGGATTTTTAGCGATATACAGGGTGTCCTAAAAAACCCAAATGAAAATTAATAGAACTATACGCAAGATATAATGAATTTCATGTTTTAATTTTTGTGCAGTATGAAAGAAAGAATTATCAAGCTTCCTGATTATGCCATTCTTTAGTTCACAACAGCAAGAAATGATCAAATATTTTAAAATGAAAATTAGTGATCGAAATCGAACTTCAGTGCCCGATTGAAGGCAAAACTGAGGAAAATTACATTTATAATTTATGAGCTTTATTATGCACCACATATAAGACTGCCTGTTTAATTCCCATGCAGCGGTGAGACAATGTGGAAACAAAAGTTCCTAGTGGCAAAACTAAAAACATCGCCTTTAAATTTATACTAAGATACTGGTAACTTACTGCCATTGCGATAGCCATTTTTGATTCTGAAAAGTAAAGAAAAGAGGAGATTTTTACCCTATAGTAGGACTTAATTTAGCATATACGAGGAAGTTGACAAACAGTCAATATACAGTGGTGATCAAAAGTCTAAGTCCAGTCGATAATTTTTCTTATATTACGATAATTTACAATAAGAGATATCTTGTGAGTTGAGATTGGATATGTTGATCTGAACTTGCGTATTTTATGATAGTAATGCCTCCCATAGATTTCTCGTTAATTCTCATATTTAAGTCGAATAAGAGATGCGTATTGTTCTTTTTGTGGACCAAAGATGGCAAAGAGAGGGCCAGCAATGAGGGTCTCGAAAAATTGCGAGAAATTGAGATGAGGTTATATGTGTCGAACGTTTTGTAAATCAGGTTCGCATTCAATTTAATAAAAATCTGCGAGACCAAGAGCTACTCCTGCAAAGGAAAAAGGAAGAAAAGCAGAAGGAAACCAGTTGACTGTCTTTAATCAATGGCGAAATAGAATTGAACCAGTAATGCTAACAAAACTGTTTCACTCTATCCCACAATAGTCAAAGCTGTTTTGAAACGTAAGACAGGTCATACAAAATAGAACAGTGCCATTTTGTGTTATATCCTAATAGTTCAACTCTATTCCATGATTTCCATGATTTATTAAGATCAGTTCACTGGTTTTCCTTCTACTTTCTTTCCATTCTCCTTTAAAGCAGTAGCCCTTGGTCTCGCAGATTTTCATTTACTTGAATGCGAACTTGACTCACAAAACGTTTCCAACTTTTCATTCGAATTTGACACATATAACCTCATCTCAATTTCTCTCAACTTTTTGAGACATCCCATCATTTTGGCCATCTTTGGTCCACAAAAAGAATAAAACGCATTTCTCATTCAACTTAAATATCATGAGAATTAACACAGTAGCGTAGCCAAAACAATAATTGGGGGGCGCATATTCATATATTCGTGATACGCAGGATTAATTTTTTTTCAAATCAATTGTCTTTACAGTCTGTTAACATGAATATATGAATATGGGCCCCCCAATTATCGATGCTGGCTATGCCACTGAATTAACAAGATATCTACGGGAGGCATTACTATCATAAAATATGCAAGTTCAGAACAACATATCCAATCTCTAACTCACAAGACATCATTTAGTGTAAATTATCCTAATGTAAGAAAAATTATCGACTGGACTCAGACTTTTGATCACTGCTGTATTTGGTTGATTAAATAAAATTGAAAAACAAAAATAATTTTCAACAGTAGGAAAAAAAAGGGAAATAGGCCATGACACAAGAATGAGTCCCCAGGTCCTACCCTACCCTGAGTTTCAGCCCAGCAAACTGGGGCCAAAGTACTTTTTAATTACATGGCAAGTTTCAGCCCGGGCTGTGTTATGACACGTCAGAATTATTTTAACACCAGGGCTGAAATTTCAGGGTTGAGTTTGTAAAGGCTGGGAGTAGACCTATTTCGATTCTTTGAGCGATTTAAAATCCCGAATGACAATAACTTGACCTTTAAGGGGCTATGACTGCACATAAAAATTAAATATACAAACCAAAACGCATTGTCCGGGTTTAAGTTTATTTATGATTATATGACAACAACACTAAGTTTAAACCTGGGCTGAAATTCTTGTCATGTATAATCGCGTACGCAATTTTGTTGGGATTTTATAACAACCCCGGGCTGAAGTTTCACAGTTAGCCAGGCTGAAACTCAGCCTGAGCTGGAATTCCTGGAAACACTCCATGTAATTGGCCCTTTAGTTTATAAATAGGGAAATGGTTCTATTTTGAAGATAAAATTGTGATGCAAGCAAAACCTGAATGTTGTTTGTCAATTAACCATACCAGTGACAGTGTCCATAGGTGAGCTAATCAATGGTGTCTTTAATGTTATTTTTCTTGTAAGTGAAGATGTTAAGTCCTAGAAAAATTGCAAGTGAATGAATAATAATTAATTGGTAAAAAGAGTTCTTATAAAAGAGTAAAAAACATAATTTAATTTTATGTTGGTACTAAAAATTCTTCAAACTGGATGTATAAACTCATACAAAAATCTAAAAAAAGTTTTTCAGCATCTTTCAACTAGCAAAACGCATGATTGCAAATTGCATGCATTGAGCTTGACTTTAAATGCCTTAAAACAGAAAACTATGAAGAAGCAAACTATGTACATATTCACTTATTACACAGAACTCACTAACAGACATATCTAAATTGCATCACATGATATAAGTAAAAGATATCACTAATATTAGTCATGTCAGCTGGCCATGGCAAGTCTGTTTTAGAAAAAAGCAATTTCCACATTTCATTTCATATTCATATTCACTTCTTGCACTGTTGAAAACTCAGGTTGATATACCAAAAGCTTTGTGTATTGCAAAAAATATAAGTGTAATTAACCTTCAAACTAATATTTATGCACCCATGGTTTGCAATGTACCTACCACTTTATCTGGAGTAAAGTCAATGTAACCAGGTAAGATGATGAAATCACTGCAAGAAGAAATATATATTATTAGACTTAGGATTATTATCATCAATTATCCATTTCTTGCATATTTAGTTATTAATATATTACAACCATAGCAAAAAGCTATAAGCCATTAACAGCGCAGTGTAACCCTTGGAGGGATGGGGTTTCTTGCAGCAAAATGGTAGAATATACTTGATGTGGTAGAAAAAATGAAAGGGATTTTTTAGCACTAGAATAATTATTGATTCAGCTTTATATACTGTATATACTTTACATATAATAGCAATAGAATAACCAGCTGGTAAGACAGATACTTTTTCTGCTTATTCTTTTGCTCAAAAAATTGTCTGGCTCTCCTTCCTTTGCAATTATCGACGGGTGCATTGTGAGACGTTGTAGCATTAAATAAATTGAAAGAGAGATCGCATTTGCATAGAGGGATTACATTTGCAGAGAGCTATATATTTTGAAAGGATTTGTCAGTTACTATATCAGATTTATGTGCGATGACACATTGGTTGATGGTTGTATTTTTCGAGCTGTTTTCATTTTTACTAAGCTTAATTGAATACGTATGTACATTTATCACATCCTAGTCGCCCTATACAGTAGAGTGACGGGTCCATGATCCGTCCATCATCTGCCATTGTTCATATTTCCAAAAGGCAGCAAACATTCATTTTGGTAAATTCGTTATTGTGGCATTCGTACCCTTGTAAATTCGTTATTGAGGCATTCGTTCCCTTATAATATGACAAGTAATTTGTTGCCCCAAATAAGATTAGGATTGCACAATAGTAATCCACGATCTGTAAACTTCAAGACTGGAGAATGCCGAGGAGAATACGAAACCTCTCTACTCTAAGAGGGGAAAAGTTACATTCGCTTTGATCTGCGCAATATCATTATAAGTCTCAAACCCCGTCCACAGCAGGAAATATAGCTCAGAAAGCCAGTTTCATAGACATAGTCCTAATTGTGCTCTGATGTTCAAAATGCATTTTCCGGTCGTATTATATGTCATATTTCCCACATTAAAATGAAAATCGCACATACTTATATGTAATGCCGTGCCCTGATTCTAGCAGTTGCTTCGCCGAAAGGCCATCTTCATGTTCGCTCATCTCTGGAACGGTATGTGCCATGTTATACAAGTGTATCGACACCAAATTTCAGCGTCGTTCAGTCTTCCTCGCACCTATATAGTGTATGCTTTGTACTGCTGTAGCCTGTAGTGCTGTTGATTAATTGATATGAATAAATATATATAAAAGGCCATGTGTTATTGCGTACCGCTTGGTCATTTCCGGTTTTTTTGCTTCCGCTCGGTTCATGTGGTTTATCTTTCAGACTACCACGGTCAGGGAGCTGCGTTGCAGAATGCATAGTCTCCAAACAACTTCGAATCAAATGTTGTATATCAACTGTCATTTGATGCGAAATTCATCCTCACAGAACTTTTTACCTATTTGATTTAATTAAACGTAAAAGCTATAAAAGCAGACAAACTTAACAATAATCCATTGAATGTAGGGCTAACTTAGATATTCGCGACATCCGCCTTGCGATGTCTAATTCCTTGCGAGTTAATTCGAATCCCAAGGGAGTGAAGGGACATCAAATGAAACATTCTTTGAAACATTCCACTAAATGCAACTTGAATTATTACTATTTTATTCCTAAGAACAATTCTTTGATTTCTTTCGTGTAATTTTTATTCTTAAAAGTAAGTTTGCAATGGTAAAACCTACAGTTAAGCGGTTAAAAACTTTCCAGGGGAAGTGGCAAGTATTTTCGAATTAATTTAATAGCCAATTTTTGTCGCTATTTTCATCAATTTTGAAAGTAACTGGAGACATCAAATGCTTGTACTAGTATCTCCGGCAACATCGTCATCAGTTATTTAGTGTTATATATGAAATCAATCAGCTCGATAACTTTTATAGTTTTTGAGTTATATCAAAACAAACAGGTAAAGTTTTTTTACAGGGCCTATATTATATTATTATTACACACTTGATTGACTTCATATAATCGGTTTTGAAGACTATATATATATATATATAATATAATATATAATATATATAATATATATATATATAATATATTATATATATATATTATATATATTATATGACTAGTGTTTGTTTTTGTAAATCCTGCAATTTGATTGGCTGCTGACGAGGCGGAATTTTCCCATGCAATACGCTCAATTTTTATTGCCCTCGGGAAAAACAACAGCAATTCGAAATGAATTATTATTCGTGTTTATGGTTTTCCCAAATTAAGTCATATAATAAATAACTTACTGACTGAGAGTGAGGTCTGTACGGTAAAATATGAAACCGAGGTCGTGCCGTATTGACCTCGCCATCGCTCGGTCAATACGGCACGACCTCGGTTTCATATTTTACCGTACAGACCTCACTCTCAGTCAGTAAGTTCTTAATATACACCCATTTGCAAAAACGTTGGCCGCAGATAGATATATAGATAGATACTCGAAATCTAATTAGAATTGTATATGTTGAGTAATATGATTGAAATCCCATGCAAATGTAATCATATGCAATTCTAATTAGACTTCGAGTATCTATCTATCTATCTATCTGCGGCCAACGTTTTTGCAAATGGGTGTATATATATATATATATATATATATATATATATATATATATATATATATATAATATATATAATATATATATATATATATATATATATATTATTATATATTATATAATATATATAATATATATATATATTATATATATATATGTGCATGCATGCATGCATGTATTTGCACGCATTCACGTTCTATACTGTGCACATGCAGTGACCATCAATAATGCATGCACAAAGCGTCACCTTAAAATATTCCCCTATCGTGGTCACCCTTATCCGTAAGGCAAGTTTCTCAGTCCAATGTGAGTGGTCTTCACCTGTGAGAAGAATGGAGCGGAAACAAGAATGATCGGACAATAGCCCAGACAATAAATAATCTACAACAAAAATATTTCATTGAAAACACCTGATATAGAACAAAGTCTCATAAGCTTGTCTTATAAACTGCATAATTTGCCTATAAACCCAAGAACTAAAACTTCTTTAGTTGTTTTTTTGGGGGGACACCATACGCGAGGAGGGATAATATCCGCGTCGCTGCCCAATCCGTGTCCGGAGAGACCGGGAAGACACTTTCTGGGGGGGGGGCAATAGGGACCTTACGTTCGGTCGACCGTCGACGTTGTCGTAGTGCCAGCGTAAGGTCTTTAATATCCGCTAGGACACCGGAACTTGAAAGTACATGGCTTAGCCTTGTCATTTATGGTCAAGAAGGCAATGTATCTCGATTGGGTTTCGTCTGGCTGTCGAAATGCGACATCGCCATCGGAATTATCGACGATTACAGCTTCATTCTCGTTCGTACTTCTTATCATCACAGTTCCAACCAATCTATTTGTCTGTTTATCCATAATCATCGATCCAAATAAAGAACTTCGCACACAATTTAACTGCTTTACCTTCAACCTTGCTCTGGCAGACTTACTCGTTGGCTGTTTAACGGAGAGTCTAGCTGTATTTATCCACATCAAACAAAGCATCGATACGGAATTCGGTCATAGAGACTATCCAATGATCCAAAAGCTGCTACATATTCCATATTTTATCGCATCTTGTGCTTCCGTTTTGAGCATTTCAGCGTTAGCATTCGAAAGATGGCTTGCGTTGACATCGCCATTCAAATATCGTGTGTATTTTAGTGTCAAGCTCTGTGTCTTGATTTCCGTTATTATTTGGATAATAGCCCTTAGCTACGGTGCAATGAATATCTGGTTGGATTATATACTGGAGAATTTCATACTTGTGAACACAGCTTTGTTGTTTACAGGCACCGTGGTCAGTTTTGCCTGTTTAAGGATTCGCTGTACACTATTACAGGTAATTCGTACAAGAGTAGTATGTTGTGCTTTTTACCATAAGACCATAATTATTACCATATAGAGATATGTATTCTATTTGCTCGCGGTCCCCCAGTGCGAATCATTTGAAATATCCGTTAATTTTCCAAGTTCTTACCTGGGTTATACGATATTTAAGCGTTGCATTTACAACGGAAGTGACTAAACTTTATCTTTGTTATCTAAATTAATTAAGAATTTCTTTCACTTTGTAGAGCATCCGGTCGTTTTGTTTTTTATTTGTTAGATGATTAATTCAGTGGTGTCGATTAATTTTATTTCGTGATGATTTCTTCGCTCAACAATTGTATATATATTATTTATATATATATATATATATATATATATATATATATATATATATATATATATATATATACACCCATTTGCAAAAACGTTGGCGCAGATAGATAGATAGATACTCGAAGTCTAATTAGAATTGCATATGATTACATTTGCATGGGATTTCAATATCATCTATCTATCTGCGGCCAACGTTTTTGCAAATGGGTGTATATATATATAAATATAAATATATATATATATATATATATATATATATATATATATATATATATATATATATATATAACGTGTGTAAAACAATGTGCCCTCCCGGCTATCACCAGAGCGCAATGGTGACTCCTGCACTTGGGACACAGGACGTACGGTTACACATTGTTGGAATTGTATAGTGAAGTCACCAGAGTGCTCAAACTTATATATGTGAGCTTTGCATAATATATATATATATATATGATAACAAGAAAACACGCAAGAAGCTAGGACAGTTTAGGACTGCTCTTCTGGTTATAACAACGTGAGGTCATAAAAAACACTAGTACATTTATCTAAAAGCATAGCGAACCTAAATGTTGTTAGATACTTAGACAGCACATCGTAATTCAACGAAGTACGAATTTCATCGTATTCAAATTCCTGGAGGACGTGAACGTCATTTTTCGGTCGGTCTTCACTCTGGATTATGGTAGCTAAACGAATGTTATATATTATAGGTTTTCACTTCATGCTTATATACTATAATGCCGTGTTCTCGTTTTCAGGTTTCAAAGAACTTGGAATTAGAAGGTTTGCGCTCGTCTCAAAGAAACGACGCATACATTCAAAATCAATTAACAAAGACATTCGTGCTGATGATTGGCGCCTTGATGTGTTGTTACATCCCTGCATGTACTGCAGTGTATTACATGAACCTATGCAGTCCCTGCAACTGTGATGTGATCGAGTGGCTACGCGATCTTGTATTTTGGCTAATACTGCTAAATTCGGCAATGGATCCTTTCATATATGCCCTTCGCACCAGACCATTTCGTGATGCAGTGCGAAAAATCTTATCGTGTAAATGTGGACAGAGGAGGAGCGAAAGACAGCAAAGATTTACTGCCACTTTTCAGAACAGGAGAGGTTATGGAAAGCTAGCTAAACTTGTTCCTAACCAGAAAACATATGGCTCAACAAGTACAGCGAGTACTGAAATCTCGCAATAATTACATTTAAGCCTGGTTCACACTTGTCCTTGGTGCGCAAAATGCTTTGTCTATCGGAAAGTAATACAATGGATCCCCGATTCTTAGGAGCTAGTGCATGTGAACCAGGTCTAATGGAGTGTCTAAATTCAGTAGGCATTTAACTATTAAAACTGCATCATAATTGTTCGCAGATGGCTGAACACGAGGTCGAAACCGAGACGAAGTCGAGGTTTTTATTTAGTGACATTTTACCGAGCCTTGCGAGGCGATTGTTTTACAAAATAAGTGAAAATAAATGTTTTAAAAAACGTGAACCCGATATTTACAAAACGATATTTTATGCAAAATAAAATACGTTTTACGGTGTCTAATTTTATTTTGCATAAAAAGCTACGTTTTTTTTGTTATTTTGCATAAAATACTACGTCCAACGTAGTTTCTATACTTCGAAATAATTTTAGGCCATTTCTTTCGCTTGTTTCGTGGTTTTAGCTTGAGCAATTTCTCTAGAATTACTGATTTCTGCATGCATTTGTCACTTTGACAAAAACAACTCCTCGCCATTTTGAAAATTCCGCTTTGGCCAAAGATTATATTATGTAACATACTGAAAATTTTGATCGAACGCAACATTCTGATTAAACGCCTAATTACAAGTATGAAAATTCATGCGTGCATTAATTATCGGTGCAAAATTAATAGAGGAGGAATCAGTCTGTACAAAATGATCTCTGTCCGACATTCAGTTTCAGTATACAGTCATGCTCGATCCATAAAAAAAG